TATTTATATCTGAAGTTAGTTAACTTTCATTTACTTTTAAATAAAAACTATTGGTCTGACTTTAATGATTTTATGACTATTAGAATCAGAAAGGCCTGATGAACAACTTAAGACCAAAAAGAAGGGCTTCTTAATAACAATACCTCTTCCGGAGCACTTTTTTAAATTTTAGGAGGTGGCATTAGCAAAAATAGGAGTGGAAATAGCAATTCCCTAAATTTATTGCATATATATAAGTTTATTATATATATATTAAACAGTATTCAATGAAAACAATATAAAACCAATCGTTTTTTTCATTAGAATTTTATGCCGTGTAACTAAGTATTTATAAATCGGATAACCGATATACTATCTTTTAAGCAAAAGATGACAGCGCGATATTCTGACCAAATAGACGACGAATATTTGGAGAATTCTGAGGTTCTTCAGTTACAACAGCGGCTCCTTAGTGGTAAGTGAAATTAAGATTTTATTACTGAATTTTATCCTCATTTTATTATTGAGTTAGTTCGGCTGAATTATTAGAGCAGGATCGCGATCTAGATAGATTGAGTGATGCTATAGGGCGTCAAAGAGAATTAGGAATATTGATCGGTGATGAACTGGCTTATCAAGTTGAATTATTAGAGGATACAGAGCACGCGGTCGATCGGACGGAAAGAGCCCTAGATAAAGCAAAAAGAAGTCTCACAAAAATCTCAAAAAAAGTTAAAAATAAAAGTAAATATGTTTTCTTTTTATTTGTTTCAGGCTTGTAATTTTTTTAAGTAAATTTTTTTCTCCCCCTCTTCATTTTTAGGTCACATATGCGCAATTTTTTCATTAATTCTCATATTAATCCTTGTTATAGTCGTCCTTGCTAAATCATAGTTTAATTTTGAATAGATTATATTTCACCTGTAGTGGTTTCAGCCGAACCCTACAATTAGAAGGAACACTAAAAATATTTATTATGATAGTATATATTCCTATTAACTTTCTCAATTATTATAGTAATGATATTATTCTGCGAAATTATAAGTCTTCTTTGTTAGTTTCATAGATTCATAATATTCACAATTTATACATTAAAAATTCTTCAACATCCAATTATTTTAAACCTACAATTTTATTTTGTCTTTGATTTTTTGCGGGAATTTTTGTTAGTGTGATGTGACTGAGTAGATCCATTTTCTAAAACTGCACGTTTCTTTTTGTGAATTTCTTTGGCACCACCAAAATCTGTGTCATGAAGATGCTAATAGTGATAATAATGGAAAAGAATGATGTATTTAGGTTATACGTATTAGCCTATTTGATAACTAATGACCAAGAATTTACCATCACAGCCACTCGTTTTGCTGTAGCAATTTCGTTTAAACTTTCCACTACTTTATTCTCGTTAATTTTCCATTCTTCCATTTGTTTATCTAAAGAATTTTTTTTTAAAAAAATAGTGAAATATTAAGATTTATTTTGTTATATAAGAGAATCATTAATTGACTGGTTTATTACTTGTTCTAGCTTCTATATTGTGAACAAGATCTATGTCACGTTCCGTAACGATTGACAATGCTACACCGCCTCTACCTGAAAAATGATTTGGCAAAAGTTTATTTAAGAATTTAATACATTTTATTACCGTTTGTATTCTCACCTGCTCTTGCTGTTCGGCCGACTCTGTGAATATAATCAGCTGGATCCTTAGGCACATCAAAATTAATGACAACTTGTACAGTAGGAATATCGAGACCTCTACAATATTTTGTTTTTATCCTTTTATCAATTTC